TACGGGCTCGACCGGATCTACGGGCGCAACTGGGCCATACGGTTCTACTGGAAGCTCCTCTGGGGAGTCTGGATCAGGCGAAACCGACGCTGTATCTGATTTATTGGCTGGAATGTGGGCGAATATATCAGAACTGTATCCAAATGGATTCGATTTTGGGAACTTCAGCATGGAGAAGGGCTGGCAATTAACCAATGAAACTGTACTGAAATGTGAGTTTAAGGGAAGGTCGTGTGACCTTGAAAAGGATTTCCAACATGTTTTTTCTTCCTATGGGAACTGTTACACCTTCAACGGCGAACTCAACGCGAAAAGATCGAGATATCAGGACCAACCGGGACTGGGCAACGGCCTGCATTTGGTTCTCAATATAGAACAGGTGTGAGACTTTCAATGGTTTGTGCAATATATTCATCGAGCATCTAGCACCTGATGCGTCCTGCACGTTCGACCAGTTCGGTTAATTGACAAAAATGCTCAACCAAGCTGTATTTGCGAGTAGCTTCAAGTTTAAAGATGCATTCGTAATAACTGTTCGATTCTGTGTCAATTATTATATAACCCAAGTTTATTTACTTGTGATATTTTACAAGGTTTCGAGTGCCATAAATGTTTCATATTATTTAGGCCATCGAACCTTCCAGCAACTGACACTACTTTATCAACTTGAGCATTAATTCTGATGCTTTTACAACACGTGGCAAGACCCCTCTCAAAATTATATGTCATAATATTGGGAGTAATTTTTGAATAAGTTGACCCCATCCCATAATTAAAACCAAATCAAAGAGCAATAGAAATGCCTCATATAAACATTTATATTGATATCACCTATTTTGCGTAACCTCTTATCAATACTGGTTTATCCTTCTTTTTTTGTCACTTAAAGCACGAGTATTTGGACGATGTTCCCGACGAAACGGAACAAATCGGGATTGTATTCCAAGTCCATTCCCAGTATGAGCCGCCGCTGATGGAGACGAGAGGTTTGGGGGTTTCTCCGGGATTCCACGTATTTGCCGGGTTGAAAAGATTTCAGGTAAGCTGATGCTCTTGGTCTGAAACAATTTCTATATTCTAATATTTGGCATATGTCTATACACCACAAATAAAACAAATGAGGCATTTGCAAAATATAATAGTACTGTAATAATAATGTTACAGCAAATAACAGCGACAATTATCAAAATAAACTCAAAATAAACTGGAGTTAATAAAACAGTGGCACATGATAAACAGTGCATGAACCCTTAGTTCTATCAAACATGACGTTATGGCTATCGATATGAATTCATAAGATTGCATGGCATTTTCATTGTATATAGATTATTCGAGGAACTGTATTTGGTGTAGATATTTTAAAAAAACTATTTAAGAAAAAAAATTTAAGGAATTTGATAAAATATTACTTTACATAGTTTTTAAATGATGGTCATTTTAATCCTTACAGACCGTCAATATTGAGCCGCCTTGGGGGAAGTGTAACAAATCTCTGCGTCTGGATCATTACCCCAAGTACACGTTCTCTGGGTGTATCATTGAATGTAAACTTCAGAAGACTGTGGAAAAGTGCGGCTGCAAACCTTTAGAATACCCAGGTAGGCCTTTACTTTCCAAGGGTCTGTTAAAAAACATGTCTTAAGGTTTTAGCTGAGATCACAATCTGCCTTAATCGTAAAGCCAATTACGTGAATGACTTAACAGTAATGGTGTACGAGCTTTTCAGAAATGCTTGGACCAATGTAAATTTTAATTTATACTTAAAAGTATAGCGTGTGATGGATGGAAATCCCTTAAAACTAGGCAAGCGGCCTTTTATATTATTTGTAAAGCGCAGCTTATTTGACCAAAATCGTGGATGTCTATGTTAAAATGCATACGTACCACCGTCGTCGCTGAATGGTCGTAGCCAGGGCTTTATGCTTTGCTTTGCTTGCTACTGTACTCCTGCTATATTCTCTACTTCGAAAATTACTGTTAAGATAACATTTCTTTCACAAGTAGTATCTCAGCATACAGAGAATTGGAAACATCAGTTTCATTTCTTAATATGTATTTGACTAGCAGCTCGATATGATTATTATACTGTTGGTTAATTGTTTCAGGTTCCCATCCCGTATGCAGCCCGCAGATAATACACGAGTGTGTACGAGAACAAATGCGTGAGTTGATTAAAGTTACTAAGACGATCTTTGTATGAGTTTAATTAATGATAATTTTAAAAATCAACTCCAATTATCTCATTGATAAGCTGAAGCAGCATATATGGAAGTTTATAATTATAATAATAATAATAGAAGAGTGATCAAAGCTGGGCGTAAAGGCAGAGAAACTTTCGAAACGATACTTCGCAATTTTAGTCGTGATTGTCATCACTTTTAATTCTTTGAAATATATTATGGTGTTGTTTTAGCTGGATGCCAAGGGAATTCTAACAACGCCATAAGAATAAGTCACTTTACAATGTTATAGGTTTGAAATTAAAGAAACGACGCGACACACACACACAGAAATAAATTTAACAATCGGCGTTTCTATACTAAGCTTTATATCTGTATCATCTGCCACACATTACTTATTATTTCGCTCTCTACATTTCTCTACACCTAACAAAATGTACCCATTCGTCTTCCTTTTCTTTCTTGCTTCTCCAGTTCTCCAATTCCCCTCTCTCTTTAATTCTTTTCGTTCCCTTTTTCCTCCTAGAAAGTTAATTAAAAGTTGATACAGTCATGCATATATGTTGCAGGTATCATTAACCAGGACTTCTCGAAGCATTGTTCCGGGTGCACCGTGCCGTGTAACAGTACCAACTACAACATACAGCTGTCGTACGTGGCCCTACGGAATGCTACATTGCACCATAAGTATGGCCAGCAGGTTATTCCAACAGGGTATCAAGGAGACTACATACAGTATGTACCCGTGTCTTTTTCTTTGTGTATCTTTTTTATTCACTTAGTCATTCAGTTATCTACAAAGCTATTAGTCAAGGGCTTTCAAAGAGACTCAACTTTGCTTTTTATGTCTTTAATATTTTTAGTATATACGTATGCATGTATGTGTGCTTGCGTGAGTGTGTGAGTGAGTGTGAGGGTGTTTGGTGTATTTGCTTATTAATCTATCTGTTAACTTACAAGTAGGCCTACATACCCTATACGTAAATCCATTGTACATACATTATATTATAATCCAAATATTTATTTTTATTACTATTGTTATCATTGTCATTGTTATTCCATTGATGTTTTAATTGGAATCGTAATTTCTAAATGGGTCATACAAACTAGGTATTTGCGTTACGTCTTAGAGAATTTTCCGTTGGTAACGAGGTGAAATTTAAAAAAAAAGCACATATAATTTTACATATTTTCTTTCGGTCATTTGAAATTACACTGTCTTTTGAAAGGTAAAAAACACGATACCTCAACTAACATTCCCATGACATGCTGTGATCACGTACATTAACTAGAAGGTGGGTCATATATCAAGGCTACAGAGCTATCAGACAAAATGAGCGCTTTGAAAAAGACTCGACCTTGCCTATTTGATATGCGATTCAGGTCCTCGGGGAGAAAAACCCATTGACTTAATTGACAAAAACATTTTTGTCACGGACGTCCTTAAAGAGAAGGTTATTCACGTAGGCCTCACTAGTCATCCGCCAATTACAAATATGTGCTTTAGAGCTCATTCCCAATAAAACTATCACTCTGCGTAGATTGATCGCTGATTGCACATTGATTTCTCCTGGCGTTGAGTCGAATACGGAAAAAACTGGTGATTATACGAGTCCGCTGGAAACAAGAAGAGGCGTGCTAATCTGTTAAACTGATTGCATTCAGCGAGAGGCCCCGCAGAGTTGGATCGATCTACGTAGAACCATAGTTTCATTGGGACTGAGACCTATGAATCGTGTATTTTGCGTATCAGCAATGCAGCTGTCGGTGACCTGCATGGGTATCAGGTCGCACAGTCTCGTTTCGAGCAAAGCGAATAATTATGAAATTCACTTAAACTGTGTTATGTTGCAGGGACAATCTTCTGGCACTTGATATATATTACGAAGAACTCAACCTTGAGTCCATGGAACAGAAGAAGGCGGTAGAAGAGTCGGGGCTTTTAAGTGAGTTCACACAAAACGATGCTTTCATTTTTTGGGATAATTCAATTATTAATACTAGCGTTGGTGAAAAACACGAGAGGTTGCATTATAGAAGTACAAGACATGATCTCACTTTTCTTAAGCAGCAAGTACTGTAAATATTACAAAAGAGACGAATATGGCTATTTTTGATTCGAAGTCTAGACTAGGCATCTTATTATTCAATTTTCCTTGTTTTTCAGTTTATTGCAAAATAAATATGTTAAGATATTTGTGTTTATTTCAGGTGATATCGGAGGTCAGCTGGGGTTATTCATGGGGTTTAGTGCGCTCACATTCATAGAGTTTTTCGAGTACATCATTCTCAAATTTCGCAGACTGACACGCCGAAGAAAACAAATTGAGCCGATAGTTTAAGTAGAGGGTTGTTAAGAGACAAATCCTTCGATACCACATATAGACGATTAGTATTATATTATTAAACGCCACTCGCTGACGTAAGAAATAGCTGCAGAACTCACTGATTGCCGCAGCAGCTATAGGTTTGTGGGGTTATAACATCAATTTCGACTGTACATGTTCAGCAACATGTACAGAATGTGTACAATTTTTTCCAGTATGTAACTACGGGTGAAAATCAGAACATTTTGAAATTCAATAATTACCACCAGTCTTTTGTGGAAGTTTCGATATCCATATTGGTTTTGGGCTATAATGAGCAAAAACACCAGAGGGTCACATTCCACCCTGTTCCGGATCTTACGGAGACTTTTGCTTAATTTCTTGCTGAACACATACGTGAGTCAAATGTGAAGGTCTAACTTGTTTTTTACCAAAACGTGAAACTTGTGATCCATACTGCATCACCCGTTGTCAATCCTGACCATAAAACCGACATCTGTATTTCCTCCAGAGAAACACTAAACCTGTCCTGCCAAGAAATATATTTTCGTTGAACATTCGGGTTCAGGATTCGCGTTACTTCTCATATGGGCAAAACAATATGCATTTTTACTATACAAACGCAATGACACTGTGATACAGATCTGGAAAGCATATATTTTATTGGAAACTCTTCTTTCTTCAAATCTGGAATAATTCAGTCGTATACCATTCAAACGGTGAGTGAATTGCTAACTGTCAGGCAAATTGTTCTATAGGCTACATTAATGCACACATTTACATCTATGCATATATTTATCACTAATTAATTTATAAAGTGCATAGCATGTATTCCCTACGTATTCACAAGTATGTATTGATAATAAGGTCCGTCGTTACTGTGATTATGATATTTAATCTAGCCTCAATAAATTGTCCAATTTTGTGTATATGTGTAGATTTTTTCTTCTGTTGTAGGCGTATGCTCAAGAAGCATATATACTGTACTTTACAGTAGTTAACTTAATATTCTCATTTGCATGAGATATGCAAATTAAAGCCCCAAAAAGTAAATAACATTAATATTAGTTAGTTGGGTTCCTGGGATATATTGTCCAATATATGGTAACCAAATAGAACTGGGGAATACGATATGTGTATCCAATTCTTACATTTTCTTCTCCATGCTCTCAATTTTGTAAAAATAACGATAAGCCATTTTCCAACTATTATATGCCATGATTTCTGTGATTGTGAATCAGTTTAACTTTTCAGCCATTTCAATCATGTTACACATATGTGTTAATAATAAATGAATACGAAATAAAATGTATGTTTTGTGTTAACACATCTGTCTTCTGTGGAGTCACGAGTTAGCATACTGTAGTAACATGACAATAAACACAATAAACTAAAACAGAATACCACATACGTTGTATGTACTTCATGATATAAATAGTATCACGTGATCATTATCTTAGCTCTCCAAACACATGATACTTGTATCCGGAATACATTTCCGCAAAACTATTTTTATCCACTACTTGAACTAACATAAAAATAAAATGAACTCTAGAAAAGGCAAAACATACTGATTTTGCATCAAAATTAACTTCGTTAATACAACTTTTTGTCCAATACTATAACATTTATAGATAATATATATGGCTGCTCGGTCTACTATTTGTTATCAAAGCTACTTTACAGTTTATGCCGTTTTCTTGCTTCAGACATCAGGCATGTCCATTAGGCTTACTCGAATTCGATGTTAAACAGACCTTTTGACGAGCTCGTAAAATAGAGATTACTTATAAATACTGTACCATGGTGCTTCATTTTCTTCCATATATGGATAGTTCCTTCCAGTCAGGTGTGTTAGGGGCATCTTGAGGGTCACTTGAGGAACCACCATGCGTGGTTTTGTTGTCCGATCAACGATTGGTGGAGCGTTATTTCGAGTACTAGTAGAAGCCTGCGGTTCTCTAACACCCCTCCAGTCTTGCGAGTCCCCGTTTCCATATTGCGACACGCCTGGCGTGTATCCAGTCGGTTGGTAATTCTGGTTACTGAAACCACTGTGCAGGGGTTCCACTATGTTAACGAAGGAAGAGGCGTTATGAGGGGTAGGTTGCAGGTTCGTACGCCTTAGATTATTGGTTGTATAAATATTTTCTTCGTATCCTGGTATCATCGCCGTAGCTGCACCGAGGTTCAGTGTAGCCTTTTTCCGTTCTGGGTGTTGGGGGTTCCTGTTCCATCCATCTTGGTAGTCAGCCTTCCAGTAAGGCTTCGATTCTGACGCAATTCCAGCCTGTTCCACTGGGGCATATCTGTTATATTCCCCAGAACGTCTTACGCCAGGCGTACCATGTTCTGTAGCATCCATTGATAGGGAATAAGGAGGACGTGTTTGATCCACTGCAAGGTTGACGTATGTATTCCCTTTGGCCATTGTTGATACGTTTTGGTTCCACAGCTCAGGATCGTTTCTGAAGTTGTAATAGCCATGCTGGCGAGGCACTTCAGTTTGCTTGACATCCTCCTTAAATTGGCCTGGCGTATAGTCATTCGACACGATTCTCTTTGGGCCATCCGGAAAGGGGTATCCTGATCTATTTGGTTGAGGGTAAGAGGCAAGAGCAGAGCCGAAGTCTGACTTAACTTTGTCTTGCTTGGCTTGATGAACATAGGGCTGTTTTGTTTTGTCCTCGTGTGGGAGATGCCAGTAATTTCGGAATTCGTAAGGATTAACTGGATGAGAGCCGTGGATGTTGTGGCGATCTTGAACTCCATCATCACGAGGATTAGGGAAGTGGCCACCTTTAGGTTTCTTTATGTCAGGCCAGACTATGAAAGCAGCTGCTATCACCACAATAATCAGCAGAGCCACAGCCGCTGAAGCACTACCGATGGCGATTTGTTGAACGGAAGAGACCCTGGAACTGTCCGTGTTTGTTGGTGATGCGCTGGTTGTCGTGGTATACAAAGGTGTTGTATTAGGTTGGGTCGTGTACACAGCTGTTGTGGTTGCTGCTTTAGTGGTTGCTGCCGTACTTGTTACTGGCTCTGTTGGAGGTAACGGATAACTGTAGACAAAAGATACCGAGACGATATTCGACACTTGTCCTATCTGATTTTTGTCATCTGAGGCCAAAAGCGCAATGAAATACGTGATGTTGGAATTGACTGTTTGGTTGAATTGGACGCGAAAAATTTCTCTTGCGCCTGCTGGCAAGGGTGCATCAAGTTTCCCCTGGATAAGATCTTTGTCAAGGAGTTTATAGGTGTTATTGAAGTTAAGTCGGAGTTGTGAGACTGAGGTGCTGTAGCGAATAATGTAACTCGATGCTGAAAGAAGGTAAATAAATGAATAAGAATAATCAATATAGGGCAAGCTGGATGTTAAGGTTTTGCTTTGTATACTGATCATACAATGCATTACGAAACTCTTCAATCTTAAAATAAAACTACATATAAAATCAACGACCCTTTTAGACGGAGAAAAAATTACTTTGCAATAAAACATTCTTTATTAGCGTCTTTGAAAAGTGGTTTGAAATACTGAATCAGATTTTTTGCATTTATAAATATATATCATGAAACGTGAAGTGATTATCCTTTGTTGTGCCTATAGCGTTATCGACAAGGCCTTCAGGATAATCGCTTTGATTTGCAAGTAAATACATAAGTGCTTTACTTATTCTAAAATACGGATTTTTGAGTGTAACATATAATACACGTAACTTTGCATAACAATAAGATATGGCACTTAGGCCTTGTTAATGTCTGAATGCAACAATATGAGACATAACGCAAACAATTTTCTACTTACCATTTCCTTGGTCCAGATCATCACCAGTCGCTGTCCAGGATAGTGTAACAGTTTTGTCATCAGTGTTAACTGCTACCATCGCCAGGTCGTAGATTCTGCCAGGAGGGTACAGGTCAGGTGGTTCTGAACCAGGCGTCGAAGTTGGAAAATTCTTAACGGTGAATAAACCACCGCTGTCGGAACGCTCGAATGGTTCTATTGGTGTGTACACAACCTCCAGCTTCGCTGCATTTGCTGCAGCTTAAAAATGTCAGCAATTTTGCCAAAAGGTTTGTAAAATCACAAATTGCAGGTATTTTTCTCAAATTGCGCAATGACTCAATTCTTTAGAGCAAATAAATATAAAACTGAAAGATTTGCCTAAATGACAACTACTGGTTTAGATGTATACATGCAAACATATTACTTTGTCATATTGCTTGTTGTCGCTATCTTGTGCATTAACACTGCATTACGGTTAATCTGCGTATTATATCAGAATTGATCTAAAAGAACGTTGTACGTTATGATTAAACATACTTGAAACACAGAACGAGAAGGAGACTTACACGTGGTTATTTCTGGTGACAGGAAATTTTTACTAATGTTGACGTTAGCACGAATGGTCATTAGGCAAGTTAAAAATATTCAGAACGAGTTTATAGCTTACTTGTGTTGGTAATGATTGGTAACATTTGTCCACCAACTACAGACTTAACTGAAACACCTTCTTCGCCTTTCACTACAACTCGAACAGAATGCTCCACGTTGCCTTCAAATTTCAGGAAATATGCCGAGTAGATGCCATCGTTCTTGGTATTATCCGCGCCTTTGTGAAAAACAAAAGACTGACATGTAAGACATATTTTTAATTATTTCCCAAAACTATAATGTGTGCAACTAAGCAAGGTTTAAATAGCAAGCCTAGGGAAATAGGACCAGCATGAACGTGAAAATTGGAACTCTCAATTTTATTTGGGTTAAAAGGTCGTATATGTTTTATGCCAACAGAGTCCATTGCAGTTTATCTAAATTTTGGAGCGCTTCATAATAGGATACACTCACTTTTTCGAGCAATGTATGCTTGTAACGTATTTTCTATCAAAAAAGTATGAAATACCGAGAGGGTTTAATTAAACGAAATTATAATCATGGAAGCATTGTCTTCAAACTGAAACAGCAAATACGTTTCTTCACCTGCCCCGTTATCAAGTAGTGGTATTTGGGTACTCCCACTACTTGTGTCAACATAAGCCATCACAGTGGCGCCAACTACCGGTGTGTAGCCTTGACTAACCTCTCCGTATATGGCAATGCGGGACAAACTGGGATCTGGAGCGAAAATTGTACATGTTACTAGAGAATGAAGGATAAGCGTAGGAGCGGGGGAAAAGGGTGCTTGACGGAACTTTTAGTCTTCAGTTGTTAAGCCTCATCAGTCATAATAATTTTTGAATGGCTAAGAATACTGTAAGGGGTTATTTATCATACAAAAGCAACAAATGGGATGTTTATTGCACCCGATTATTCATTAATGCATCTCTTTTTGTGCTGATTTAAAACAATGAAAATCTCCTTGAAATATATAAAATATTGGCATTTTTATTTCTCGTTGTTATGTATAAGTATAGATCATTCAAAGCTTTTATCGTCAATTTAACACCTTTCTATTTTGAGGTGAGAAATCTGGATTGTATATACTTAATACATGTAAACAGAAACCATTATCATGATTATTATCATTTGATACGAAATTACGTTCAGAGAAATTTTGTAAGGACATTTGGAGAAAGAGAAAACTAATTTAATGGGTTCATTAACCATAAGTAAGTATGGGAATAATTGCCGTTTACCCCATGGAAATCCATTTTTGGCCAAAATGAACAGTTGATATCCCTTGAAGCTTAGTTTTGTGCTGACCCGTATGAGGACGTGCGTGCTTGTGTCACCCCAAATAAGCGCAGCATTTAGTTTGGAAAGATAAATACCACCTTTACCTGCAATATCCACGGTATCACTGCTCACACTGGCACTCAGTACAATGGGTGCGGCGTTTGAAGAGGGGCGTGACGAGACCTGCACCTGGACTACTGCGTTTCCGGAACCCGAGCTGGTGACAGTATAGAGCCATTTCCCGACCTGTTAAAAAAGGCAATTTTGGCGAAAAACACCTCTTTTACAGAAGTATATGTACTTTATGGGAATGTTGCGTTATCAGATGGCAAAGTATTACAAAAAAACATGAACATTTGACCTCTTTTACTTTCGATTTCTTGGGATGGGTCCCTTTTGGAATATCAGCTCTATATGAGATGTAAAATTCCACAATAAATACATTGTAAATAACACATGAATATAATAAATTCAATTTTACCACCAAACGGCCTTAAGAGCAATTATTATGAAATCTATGTTTGCCATCGGACCAGGTGGACTTTATAGATGGCTACCCTACGAACTGAAATTTTTTAACATCTTGGACTTACTTCCAATGTGGAAACGGATTCATTAACCATTTGCAAGTATGGGAAAGTTCGTGTTTGCTCCAGGAAATCCTTTTTTTTTTTGGCACTTTTTCCGCCCAAAATAAAGACTTGTCATCCCTTTAACTTAAAATCATCCCATTTTCACAAGTCACCGTCTCTGACAATTTTTTATTTTCATAATTATTTTTTGTGTGTGTGTCAATCGAGAATAAACAGCAATACGCATAATTTTTATTAAAAATGAGATATTTCATCATTTTGGTATATAGCTCTACCTGCGTAGTGCCGTTAATATCAATACTCAGTACTCCAGACACACTGTCCTGCGTTATGGTCACATTGTCAGGTGCTGTAAGTGTCACAGTGATCGAACCAGTGCTCCATGTGAATAAAAACCGTGTGTTGTTTCCAATAGTACTGTCAATATATATGGAACCTTGAAAAGAGCCACCTCCACCGGCAACTGTAAACGATTCTGACAATATCTGGAATTGAAATATATATTTTGAGATGAAGTACCATGCAAGTCAATAAGGCAGTTTGGGAGCATATTGAGAGCAGTTGAACCTATCAAAGAATAGCCTAGGACTGCAGCAATTAATTGATAATGAAATTTTAGATATTCTTAATATAAGGATAAAATACATCGCTTGTTTGCTAGCTCTGAGCGCTTACGGCAGCCGCGCTGAATCCTCCCCAGGAAGGCAAGAGCTTCATCACCCAGGGGCGGATTTAGGTCGTCTTCTGGGTCTTCCGGAAGACGGTCAGATTTTCAAGTTTACATAGACGGGTATCTATTTTTTTCTGTCGGAAGACGGTCAAAAATGGGGGATGGCGCAATAAAGATAATTTGGAAGACTGTCAGAAAATATCTCTGGATCCGCCACCGACCCAGTCAGTATCTTGTCCAGAAGTGACGAGGCCTAGGCATCCATTTTATTCTTTCTTTTATGTACAACTTCAACCCAATGGGTTGCAATTCTTAATTAAGTTATTATTGGTTATTTATCATTATTTATGACATATTCTTTACCTGGACTAGAACATCTTTCTGGCCGCTGTTTCTCTGAGAAATGGTCTTAGACAAGGAATCCGTTAAAGACGTAGATAAAGCATTTCCTGATTCAAAGAACGATAGGCCTCCAGTGTCTTTAGCTAACGATATCAGTTTTATATCAGCCGAAGCCGTAAAAAGTAAGGTATCCACTAAGACTTCCTTCTGTTTCAGGATTGGCTTCATTTCAGAAATGTATGGACTAATATTTTCCCCTCCATCACTAACAACGACCAAAATGCCACCAGCTGCTACCATGTTGTTGTTTTCTAACACCTAGAATACAAGTCAGCATTTATAAGTAGATGGGACCGAGCAGGAAAAATAAAAAATATTCAGATATATACGTGTACTTGTATATTTAAATATCAATACCGGTGTCTCATACACAGATACTATAAATGAGATATTCAAATTGGATGCAAAAAACATAAATTACTTTATTTGAACATAATTGTACAGGTAAATGAGAAGGCAAAAATTGTAAGGGTAATAGTGACAACATCACAACGAGGCCATGGTATTTTGTGCCCGTTATTATGCACTGGTTGCATTTTTAAAACTATGATCAATACTTGATATAACCCTATATACTTGTATAAACCGCCTAATTATACAACAGAATATGGTATCGACTTACATTTATGCCTTCTTGGAGACCACAACCAATGCATGTCCCTCCCCCGGCGCTTAGTCCATCAACAATAGAAACCATGTTTTCTCTCACTGATCTAGAACTCATTGTCGTTAGATGCTTCATTATGGTAGTGGAAGCTCTTCCACTAAATTTTACGATGCCGACTTGGCTCTCTTCGTCAACAGTGTTGAGAAGAAACTCGGCACACGCCTTCTTAAGGTTTTCCAATCTGCTCTAAAATATTGAATGAAATCCAGTTTATGCTAACAGCTGTAATGATTAAATCTTTCTTCAGGTAGTTTTAATTATTTATTTCTTTATCCATCAGTTAATCTACTAATTCATCTACGGAATTAATTATTTTTTTGCTGTATCCGTACTGTCGAGGTCACAGGACTTTGAGTGTTGAACACAGCAAGTGTGACGTCATACCTAAATTCGCATTATGGCAGCACTGATCGAGTCTATTGGAAAACTGAAAGAATTGTCAGTACATATCTAGCACATACATTAATTGAGAGTTGATAAATACATTTAATTTAACGGATTCCTAACAGTAAAATTAATGAACAAATTTTGTGCCTATGTTTGTGTCCTGTATATTGACCTTCCAAGAAATAAATTACATAGTCCAAAAGACATAGTACACTTACACCCCCCATACTTCCGGATACGTCGAGAACCAGTACATATCTCTTGGGCTGCTGTTGTGCCACTTTGAAGGTGGGAGTTGTATCTATATCACCTTGTACGGGAGGGTTATTATCTAAATTAATGTAATATATATACCGCTATATTAATATTCTGCTTGATGAGTAAATCATTATTTTTCAGTTGAGCTGGATATTAATTATGTTTGAAATGCTATTTACAATTACCGGGCGAACGTACCAGTATACCTGTGTCTTCTTTCTTTTTTAAACAAAAACCATTTTATCTTTTCATTCCAGAAATTGAACTATTTTCAAGCAATATTCATTCTAAACACAAAAGTCATAAATGATTTTTTGTGGATTGTCATTATTACTATTACTTTTACGAATAATGGAACGTGAACCTTACTGTTCTTAAAATCTTCGTGCTCCCTCATGACTTCCCATGCACTCCTTTCACCACACAGTCTATTCTGCCTGTTAGGAGCCTGGTCGTTATGTAGGTCAAATGTATCTGTCTTACTATTGTCACAGAACCCGATAACCTGCAGTAAAAATTGCGTATCTCGATCAATATCTTGACACCACTGGGTGGGTGTAGAAACACAACAAAAATAGTACATAGTACTATAGATATATCCTCTTTTGAAAATATTACTTATTATGACATCTTACCGATTTTATAACCAAAATATCATTTTCATTCAAACAGTCAATGAAGATGTAACATATCTCCCCTGTACCCATTTCTTCCATCCAATTATAATACAATTAAATGTTTCATCAGTCGACCATGCGTTTGACTCAATGGACAGATGTGCAAAAGAGAAAAAAGGTTTCAGATACATTTCTTGTGTCTGTTAAAAACCTTTATATGCTAAGCATGTTTTGGCTTTTGACCTTTTTGAGTTGCATGATATGTTTATCTTTATTCCAGCCCCTGCCAAAATTTGTCTCATATAACGCTCACTTACGGTTCTCAATCTGTTCTAGAACATGTTTTTTCTTTTTAATGAAAAATGCCCTTAATCTGTTCTAGGACAGGACTTCCCAAAAACAGTTATCAAACTATTACATATATTACAGAACAACATTAGAACTGTAAAAAAATACACCAAATGTTATAGATTGAGAACCGTAAGTGAGACATATTTTCGCAGGGGATGGTCAAAGACAAAGTGGTACCGTCCTGCACTTACAGATGTCACATAATGGTGTGACATGATAGAGGTGGCCCCTTCGTTGTTGTATACATCAGGGGCGAACCTGCAAGCACTTTCTGGGAGGTTGGTTTCATTACCCGGGTTGCAATTCCACACTAAACCGTCGTTAACTGTCTTATACTCCTTGCCCGTCACTCCCCTGGAACAGCGCACGCCTTCTATTCTTCCAGATATAGAATCGTGGTAAAAATGAGCATCATTTTCGTCCACCGGGTACTCGTCAAACAAACCCCAGCGCAAATGTCCCCACTCATGGAGGACTGTCTTGGCTGAAATATGAAAGATATAGTGTTAAAGATACAGTGACAAAATATACCTTTGTCTATGTTATATATTTGTCAGACACCCCTGTCAGAATTTTTTTATGGAAATATTGTATTTTATTCACAGTGACTATTTCCAGACCCTATCGCACTAACTGTGGATCTATCTATTCCCAAGGGAATTTTCACTAAATTGCAATCAACTGAAGAGGCTTATATATCCGGCACTCCTACTGAAACTGTTAGGGGGTAATTAACTAATAGTCGAGTAGCCAGAACGCTAACCCTGCAATGTTTTTTCCTGTAAACTTTTTTCGCTGAAATGCATTCCTTAGGTCGAGAGAAGCAAAATTAGCTTGGTTGCTATTTCCGAGACCTTGAGCATTTTTCAATATGGCCGTCAATTTATGAGAAAAAATAGAAAAACGAGCAGAAGTCGCCCGGTAAATTTTATTGACAGCTTTTTTGAACGTGTATCCTATCAGGAGAGCACAACAGTACTAGTGAATACACTTAAGCCCGTTACATATAGCAAAAAAGCCAAAATGGCCGTCAAAACATATGGCAGAAAGTAAAAACAGCTGCAAAATAAGTTCGTTTTTTGCAAAGTAAGTCTTATTAAAAACATTTCCGCCGTTTCTATTTATGTCCATTATGATAATTTGTTAGTCATGATCCTAAACACTCAGAAACTGTTTATTTGACATTAATCAGACGGTGCCATCTCCTGAGAGTCCATCTGTCACTCCGACGAGCCCCATAGTCAAAGCTTGCTATGTTATATCTTGCAAGCTTTTTTAAAAGAAATTGTTTCATCTGGGTTACAAAACTTAGAGAAGCTTATAAGCTTGACTTTATTTGCCAGTTGATACGTAGGAGATATTAACAATTTTTCAAAATTCAAGATGGCCGTCAATTTGTTATGTGAATAGCGAGAGCCATACATTCAAATAAAAAAATATAATGCTTCACTCCATTGTTCATCATTGCATATTTATATTTATATCCATGCAAAGTGCGATCATTTATTTCATTTTTGCAAGTTATTTTAATAAAAATGGCCTCCAAAACATAATGGAAGGGCAAAGAAACAAATGTAAAACTACAAGGCTTTTAACTGAAATAGACTTTAACTGGAACAAATATAAATACATATATAAAGTGAAAAACGATATACCTGCGTTCAAGACACAGCACACAATAAAACATGTTTTTAGGTTAAATGATACAAACAAGGAAAACCAATATGTCCGTCAATGCTGCTCTATGATCAATCCAAACTTTGATTGCGGATATCTCAGTCCTGACAACTAGTTTTCCATTCTTAATAAAAAATTAATGAAAGGTATTATCATTCTAGTATGTGTAAACTAAATCATTTTGAAATAAAAAAGGCGTCAAATCGTTTTCTTCAGGTTGGATTATTCTTATCCTTTTCTTGTAAACTTTTTAAATATTTTAACAGCTATGGGTAAAG